TAAGTTCCACTATCGTATCTTTCAGATCACTGATTCTTTCTTCTGCTTCGTCTTCTGCTGTTGAATGCCTCAAACATTTTTCAGTCCAGTTATTATATTCTTCAGCTCTGTGACTTCTCTTTGGACCTTTCTTATATTTTCTATCTTTTTGTTGCTTCTTTATCTTGTGCTTTATTTGGAACGTATTCCTCTGCCTCCTCATTTTGTTTAACTCTCTGTTTTGTTTCTATGTATTAGGCAAAACAGCTATCTTTTCTAGTCTGGAAGGAGTGGCCCTTTTTAGGAAATGAACTTAATCATTTGACCTTGCACTAACTCTTAGTTGTCTCTCAAAACTTTGTGATGTTTAAGCAGCCTAATTTTTTTTTTCATAGGTCCCAGTTGTTGAGGGTCAAGACCTGTAAGTGTTCCAGAGGGAGGGATCTCAGTTAGCACCTAGATTCAAGCTGTTTGGAAACTAAACTCTCAGGCAACAGCTTTCAAGGTATGCAAATATATACCATTCTGTGGGATCACAATCGCAGACCCTGCTTGCCCCCAGACTAGGCAATCTGGATGTGTCCCCTTAGCAACTGTCACCAAAATCACAGCTCCAGATGAGTATCTGAGCTCCTTTTTGGGAGGTACTGGCAAACTGTAGTGAGATCAAGGGAGATTACAAAGGTGATGTCACCCAGCCTAACTTTCACAGTCACTAGATGTGTGGTAAACTCACAGTCTGCTCTTCATTCTGGAGCACCAGGACAAGTAAATAGGGCTTTTCAGAAGGAAGATGAGGGTGTATTTTAGTCTGCTATTTGCACAGTACCTAGGGGGTGGTAGCCTGCTGAGAATTGTCTCTTCAACTGTTACAGAGTCCTGGGGCCTGGAAGTGCAATTCCCCTTAGCCACCAAAGCCAGATGCTCAAGGGCACCCCCTTTGTGGGCTGTGCATTTCCATTGGCTGTGGTGGGACCTCAGCTAGTGGTGGCATAGGTGAGGGGGTGGGGCTGTCACACAGCTGGCTCTGTGTGGGCTTCACCAGTGGCACAGGATGGCAGTGGGGACAGGCCATGCCCACTGACACAAGCAGGTTAGAGGAAGAGTGTAAAAATGGTGCCTGCCACCACTGGTACTATCAAGGTAGGGTGATAGAACAAAAATGGCACCTACCAGGACTGTTCCCGTGGAGAGAGTCCCAACAGGCTTCTGCCCCTTCAGCAGATGCTTTAAGATTAGCAAGTGAATCTCCTTTGCTTGTAGACACTTTTCAAACTGCTGCTTGTGTGTTGGGTCCCAGGGCATAAGTTCCTTAAGAGTGGAATCTCCATTCTCTGTAGCCCTATGGTTCTGGATGTAAGCTCCGTTGGTTTTCAAAGCCAGATCTTTTGGGGGCTCATCTCTCTGCTGTAGGTCCCAAAAGTTGGGGTGCTTGATGTGGGACACCTTCTCAGGGAGAAGTACCATATTTACGATATTTCTCATGATTGGGAGTTGTCACACCCCAGGGGTGGGTTTTTGGCAGGATCATATCTCAGTTTCTCCTACCTGTTTCCACGTGGCCCTTTTATCCTTTGTTGTGGAGGAGCTCTTCAGCTAGTTTTCAGGTCTTTTGTGAGAAGAAATTGTCTCACATGTAGCTGTAGATTTATTGTGTTCATAGGAAGAGGTGAGGATCTTTCCACACTACCATCTTGAGACCTCCTCAACAGTCAGTTTTAGATGAAACATTATAGGATTCAAAATCTTGAATCTTCTGATGCCAAATTTTGGGAAAAGTTCTTTCACATATTCCAAAAATGATGTAATTCACTGCTTAGTGACTCTTGTTGAGGCAGTATCTTTTGGGAAATGATCCAAGTTTCAAATGCAATATTTAGTGTTATACAGTAAACTTCTGTCAACAACTTTCTTAAAAAGCAAATCACTTTTGACTTCCACCTTGTATATTTGATGAGAATTGTCATAACACCATTGGATTGAAGAATGAGATTCTTATATGGAAAACATCTCTAAAGGTTTAACGTTAAAAAAAAAATGAACCTCATTCATCAAATGTTCTTTTGTATGGCATAATTAACAATTTTATCTTTACTCCATATAATTGTCATTATAAATATGTAATCAATTTTTTCATTTTCCTAAACTGCAGATCGTCTTGTCGCACCATCTTTTTACTTTGAACACGTCCTGCCTCATAAGGGATGAGTTTACATGGATTGAGAGTAAAAATTCTATTGCAGTTTTGAAATTTTGCATCAAGAATATTTAGAAATATGAATTCTTAACCAAGAAAAAACGTGAAGTAGGATGATTTGTTATATATTTCAGAAATGACGCAACCATTCATAATCTTGGGATAAAGGTCAGTCAGATAAATCAAAATGAAGCTATTCAATCTATTTGCACTGTTGGCTTCTATGTGAAATAAGAGAGCCAAGGAGAAGAATGACATACATATATTCCTCAAATAACTATACTAATAGTTTAAAATAATGTCAAAATATTGAACCATAAGCTTTCAACCCTAAAGGTTGCTTTATGAGTTAAAACATTATCATAACATTTTGAGGCTTGTACACCGGAATACAAGGTATGCTGTAATCATTAATAACAGGAAAAAAAAATCACTTGCTTAATTATTATTGACTCAGGGAAAGACATATATTTACTTTCATACTCAAAATTCATATAAAATAAGTTGAGTCCATAAATATTATTGGAGAGGCAATAAAAAGTTCACTGGATAGATAACTCAGACCATAGAGGGGTCTTCTATACCTGGTACAAGTGCTAAGAAAGGCAAATGGGGAAAGAGTTTACTACATAACAATGTGCAAAACCATATTCTCAACGTAGGATTTTTATTAATTTTTAAATTTTCATCAATTAAAAGTGAAGGAAATTTTTATTTTCTGAAAATATAATTTAGCTACTCTGATTAAGACTTTTTAATAATCCTGAATTTAATAACGTGGTGTTATTTTTCTCTTTAGCAATTATTACATCTACCATACACTCTACTTTAAGTAATTATCTTGTTCATTCTGTTTCCCCATCCCCACCACTAGAATAGAACCTCATCAGGGCAGACGTTTTTAACTTGAGGCATCTGCTATGTCTCTGGTGCTTACAAGAATACATAGAGCATACAAAGTGCCTTAAAAGGATCTTTCGAAATAAATGAACGTTTTCTAAAGTCTTATGATACAGAGTCATAGTGTTAGAAGAAATTACTTAAAATAAGGATTTTAAATGTGAATTTGAGCTTAAAATCATAAAGGAAAATCAACAAATATCAGAAGTAGAAAAGGCTCTTATTTTAAAAGGGCCTCATTCTATAATCTCATTTTAAAGGTGTAGAAATTAAGGTGCAGAGAGATCAAGTAAGGTGTCAGATCATAGAATTTTCGTACTGAAAGACACCTAAGCCTCATGGAGTCCACATTTTGAGGTGCGTAGGCCCACTCAGCCTACCTTTTAATACCTGCAGTGAAGGTGAGTTCACCCCCGTATAAAGGCATCACATTTAGCCTTTTAAGAACAAGACTGGAAACTTCTTTCTCATACACAATTAAGACTTGTATTCCTATTCATATATACAGGAATACAAGCCTTAATACATACACATAAATATATATTTGTGTGTATATATATACACACACACATAAATTGATGTCGTGTAACAGCCTAAATTTGAGGCCTTTTATGCATAAGAGTTCTGGGCCCAATAGTCTTCCTGCCTCACTCTTCCTCCAACACCTCTTTGACTCCTGCCTTTTTCTCAGGAATAATCCCTGGACTAGACACACATATATATAATATATAGCCACACATATATATACAAAAAATAGATTCTAACATACATGTATATACACACAGAGAATATACACATGCATACATATATTAAATTCTTGTACACATACACACATTATATATCATCTATTACACAGAAAGATGTGTACATTTATATTTTGTGTCTTTTAGAAGTATCAGTTAAATAAAAGCATTTAAATTAGGTTATAATTTTTTAAACTCCATTTTCCCTCTGTTTAATTTCTACTATATCAGGAACCTCAAAAACAAAACTATGTTGTACTCATCTCATCCTCTAAGAGCCTAAATTGAATCTCCCTTCCACATGAAATTGTTTTATTAAAATATTGTGAGGCTGGCCCCATGGCTGAGTGTTTAAGTTTGCAAACTCCACTTTGGCAGCTGGAGATTCACCGGTTCAGATTCTGGGCACGGACCTACACACTGCTCATCAAGCCATGCTGTGGTGGCATCCCACATAGAAGAACTAGAATGACCTACAACTCGGTTATACAACTATGGACCGGGGCTTTGGAGAAAAAGAAAAAAAAGCAGGAAGATTGGCAACAGATGATAGCTCAGGGCCACTCTTCCTCACCAAAGAAAACCATACACAAAAAATCATACATTAAAAAAAAGCATCTCCTTTAAGAAGAAAAAAATGGTTAAAGTGTTTTTAGAAATCATTCTATTGTGACACTCTAACCAAATATCTCTGATCCACTGGTTATTTCAAGATCCATCTAAATCCCACTTTCCCCTGAATATTAAACTTAGTTAACTTCCTCTTAAAATATAGTTTCTAGAATTAAACACAATGCTCAAGATTTGGTCTTACTAGGACAGGGTAGCATGGGCTTATCTCTTGATCCATTCAAGAAAGCCTGTTTCTTCCAATTCAACTTATAATTCCATTTGGTTTTTTTTAGTAGCCTTATCATGTTTGACTCATTTGACCTTAAGGTCAAAAAAAAATTATCAGTCATTTTCTATATGACACTGCTAAATCAAGTTTCCTTCATTCTGTATTTATGCACTTGAACTTTTCTTTCAGGGAGGGAAATTGTCCTCCAATTCTGGATATAATAGCTGCTTTACGCTTTTAAAAATAGTGATATGCTCACAGAAAGTACATGTTCTGAAACTTAAACGCTAAAATTTAACTGAGGGGCATAAAAATATAAAGTTTGAGACAGATATCCTACCTATAAAAACCTGGTGGCACCTGCTGCACCAGGAAGCTTTTCTCCATGTCTTGGAGAATGTCATTCAGCATTCGGACACGGATGGGCGCTCTCTCCTTGGGATCATTAGCAGGACGCATCTCATCTGACTGAAAGACTTGCGCACTCTCCCGCAGGCGCGAGGCCAAGGCCAGCAGCTGATGAGGGTTGAGCTGATCACCTGGTGAAAAGAAATGAGCCCATCTTAGAAGAGACATTCTCAAAGGAGCAAAATAAACATTTTATAATCATCATGTCAAAAAAGAAGATTCGACATCAATTCAACTTTTATAATGTATTCATTCTGCCAAAAGTATCCTGTCTAAATATATTATATTCCACTGAGTATTAAATTTATTGCTACTACTGTTAATACTATTACTAACAATTACTACTACTACTACTAATACCAGGAAATAGGTACTGATTGTTGAGAGTCGGCTATGTTTCAGGCATTGTCTTGAGCACTTTACTTTAGTATCTCATTTAATATTCACCAAACTATGTATTATCACGTCTATTTCATCGAAGCTGAGAATCAATTAAGGTAAGCAAATTGCCATAGGTATCAAGCAAGTAAACAACAGGCCAAAATCAGAACCTGATCTTTCTTAATCAAAAACTGATGCTCATGATGGAGTAAGCTATATTTCTGGGGAACAAAATTGTGAAAGGAGTTATCATTTTCTCTTCTGAGAATGTGAGATGTGTTACTATATCTTGTTATGAGTCTATTGGGCTCCTTTTTTCTTTGCTAGAAATTTCCTGAACTTGAAGTTGAAATACCTCTTTAATTTGAAAATACACTGAAAACTATCCTATATAGTGTTTGTCTTGTTTTGTTTTGCTTTTGAGATGTTTGTCATTGTTTCTTTACTTGTTTGTTTAACTTACTGGAAGTCGTTCTGATATGAATAGTGGAAGTAAAAGGACCACAGGACATTCCTCAGACTAAGAGAAAGGCAGCATTAGTATAGCGATTATGGTCACCAGATCCTGGAGCCAGACCAGATAAGTTCAAATCCCCGCTCTACCACTTAGTAGCTGTGTGATGTGGGGCAAGCTACCAAGCCTCAGTGTCCTCGTCTGTGAAATGAACATAATAATAGCAGCTGCTTCATAGATTTGTTATGAGCATTAAATGATGAATACTTGTAAAGTACTTCCCTACAGTTAGGAAGTTCCCAGCTGACATGATTTAATATCTTGTTTAAAAAGCATTCTTTCCTCATACCCTGAGAGGAGCATTTGCTCATCATCTCCTGCCAGCTATCCCACCATTAACGTCAGTCTTTGCGTGAGGAACAGTTAGCTGTGTGATGTTCAGGAGATTGGGTACAACTGACTCCAATAAGGTCAGCATATCACTATGAGGGATTACTTCAAGTCAAGGTAATAGAATGAACGTGGATCTGGTAAATCTAAGCTGGCAGTCCTAACAGCATGGCATTAAGATAAGCTGATTGAGGAATGAAAAGAGGCCCTACGGGGCCTTTACTTGGGAAAGACTTGAGGAAAAAGGAAAAATCACAAAGGGACTCTTTCTCCAAGGGAAGTCTAAGGGTTACCAGCTCCCCAGACACCTGGTCTTTGTAAAAATGCAGATTCCCCTATCTGCTGACTCCCTCTAGGGGTAGAGCCCAAAACTCCCCATTTCAACATTCTACTCTGATTATTTCAAACATTTTCAAGTTTTAAAAGCACTGTAGATAGGTGATATTCTAAGAAAAGGAAAATTAAGTTAGAATTATAACTGATGTATAAAATACGTCTGTCATAGAATTACCCACCTCCAATATAATGATAGTTATTGTCTCTCACCTTCGTATGATGGGAACTATTTTACATGTCAATTTCTTTAGAGCTCAGCCTGGTTCTGACCCTCAATAATTGTTTACTGAATAAACAAAGTAGCTTCAATAAAGTGTTTTTAGAAAAAAATCCAATAACAAAAGAACATTAGGTAGAGATAGGTGGTTTTTATGAGACAGCTCTCTTTGTAGCTCTCTATTCACTGAAATTACCAAAATGAATAAAATTTATTGTAGGAATTCACAGGTTTTGGCATTCTGATGTTTTCAAAGTGCGTTTCACATCTTTAATGATCTTGTTTGATTTCACAACAAAACAAGGTGTGAGAGGAGATATTTTTGCTTATTGTGAAAATCTAGCTCTCTAAATAATAATAATAATAATAATAATGCCATTTTATGAAGATATGATTTATCTTAGAATATGATGGCTCACTGAAGTTAATATATGGAGAACTTACAGGGAGTATCTTCGCACAAGGAAAGAATAAGATGGATAAGCCATGTTTAGTTTATACTGGAATTGAAAGACTGAACAACAGGAAAAACAAGTTCGACATCCTTGAGACTCTTCCACTTAAGAAAGAGATATCTGTTCTCATCTAACATACACTACAGAATTGAAGACATTACTCCTGAATCAAGTGAGACAAATGGTACCATTCTACCTTATTTAGCTTTAAATGAATTTATCTTTCATGGTGGTACATGGTAGAGAATTGACAGCTTTAGGAACTGGTTGGTTCCGGAAAGGCCCCTGATAGTGGAAACCTGCTATCCACAGCATACCCTATGCTTTATTTCAAGGGTGTGAGGTTACAAATTGAAAAGTAACTTCACTTTCAATGTTCATGCAATCATTTTGATATATAACTGATGTTCCAAAGATTCCTAATAGCCATTTATATGCCAATTAGAGCTTGTTTTCCCTTTAAGTAAGATCCAGAAAGTAATGTCACTTCTGCTATGCAAGTTTTTATGACCTCAAATGATTGTTCCTTCCTCATCTTTAGGATCCCTACGAGAATGTCAGCTCTGTGAGGAGAGAGATTTTGTTTGCTTTGTTCACTACTATTTCCCCAGCACCTAAAACTGTGCTTGCTATATCATTTAGTGCATGAATGTGTGAATTATGTATTGGTCATATTATGATTAATTGATCAATTGTGATCAATCATACTATTGATCAATTATGAATTTGATCACAGCATCACAGCATCTGTAATATTTTTATCCTTACCTGCCTTGTCTCTCTCCTTTCCTTGACTGAAAAGAACCTTAGAAGTTCAGCAAATATGTTTTATCTCTCTTCATATCTCCAGATTCTAGCCTAATACCTGATATATGGTAGTCATTTATTAAAAATTTTGTTGAATGAATGTTGAATTATAAGATAATGTCTTATTTGAGATATATTATTACATTAAATAACACCTACAAAATTATTCAGGGAGACGTCTGGTGCATGGTGAGCATCAACAGATGTTATTTCCTTTAACTTCCTGCTAAAAATCAATAATAGTTGCAAAGTAAAAGAAAAAAAAACAGAAGAGGCTGTTTTAAGGCAATGATGAGTTAAATTAAACTACATCGAATTAAAATATGGCTTACCAATAACCCATAAAAACTGACAACAGAAACTTCATTTAAGGCCCAGTGAATGTCAGAGAACAGTGGACTAATTGAGGCTCTTAGCAATTCAGTTTTAGTAATAAGTCCATTTGACCTGAGAAAACGAACTGGGAGCTAGAGATTTCTCTCAGAGACGGTTAATACAATGATCTTGAAGTTATATGTACAATGAGTCTAAAAATGAAGGACTTGGTATCCAAACCCAGACAAAAGCCTGGTCTACTCATTACCATGAATGTGGTCTTGAACAGATCACTTAATGCTACTGCCCTCCAGCTTCCTCGGGGAAAAGGGGGAACATAGTTATTTCAATTTCTAAGCATATAAATCACTCTATAAATGCAAGTTACTGTTAACAGCATACACAAACTAAATACAAATTACTACCAACTAATTTTTTAAAAGTGCGAAGAAAATAATGTAACAACTGTACTATTGATTTTATTCTAAGAAATGTTACTTCTTATCACTTCCTCTAATTCGTGCCTTCACCCCTGCAACTGAATCACAACTCTCCCCATACACACTTAATAAAGATTCCAAATTCTATTTTGTGGTGTCTATGAATCTGGCGTTATTTTTTCTTTCCATGGACTGGCATCTTAAATCTCCAAAGAATAAGGAAAGATAATATAAAGGGTAAAGGAATTAAACAGCCATCCTTTAAAAACGATACTTTTACATCTTTGCTCCTGGTGAAAGTTTATCATTAATAAGTTTTTATAGCATGGCAGAGCATACTGATTTGTGAGAAATATTAAAAATCTACTTTAATATAACACAAAATAATTGAGACTGCCTAGTGAAATTGTCTTGATATTATTCAAGAGACAATTGAAATGTATGTCTAAATTTCAAACAGAAACAGTTTGCACTTTTTATTTCTTCATCTCAAAGTAAAATATGAATATATTTTCAGTAAATATTTATTGAGTTCTACTTTGTGTGTTGTTCTGTAAGCACTGGGAGAGAAGCAAAGCCATATAAGATTAAATCTCTAACCCTTAATAAATTCCCAGTTAGAAATAATCCACAGAGAACCAATATCAAATGAAATAAATGCTTATGAGGATGACTGAAGAGTTCATTGTGTATGAGAATACTCTAAGTAGATCCCAAGAAAGAAGTAAAATTTGAAGGACAAAACATGGAATTGCCCTGAAATCAAAAGCATCTCAAATGGAACTCTTGAAAGCTCTAGGACTTTACCTCAAAAAAGTCAAGGTTGGGTGTTCCATCTGTGAACAACGATACTGACTAGTCTTCCATTCTCTTCCTTCAGTCCTGAGCCTTCTAGAGGAAGAATCTACCTCTTACTTAAACCTTTCCTGTTTTTCTAGCTTGTTATAGAAAGGACAGAGCTGGATATTATATAAAGTATTAATATTAATTGAGGAGGAGGGAGAGAAGAAGAGAGGGATTCCTAGTCAGTGGGTATTGAGATCGGTATTGAGATCTAGGCAAACTAACTCAGGAGAGGCTCTAAAACGTACTGAAGGAAACATATCCTTACTCCTGCCTTGGAGCCAGTCATCACCCTGCAGCGTTCCCTGCTCAAGGCAGTTCGGGAAGCAGTATGGTGTAGCGGAAGGGGCAGGGGCTTTGGAATCTGGCAGAGCCACATTCAAGCCCTAAACCTACCACTTAGATGCATACACATAAGAAAGACACAAACCCCCTCTGACGCTCAATTTCTTAATCTCTAGATTGGTCTTAACAATACCCAGCTCAGCTCCTA